CTCGGGCGCCATAGACCTCCATTATATATTATTCCTTTAAGGAATTTTGGGAAAGCTTACACATAAATTAAGTTATATTGAGTCTGAATTGTGTAACCATTGACAGAATATCCATTTAATGAATTCTTGTCTTTGACTAAATGACAGCACAGCTTTCTTTAGCAGCTGCTTCACATTATAAATAAAATAATGCATTGTTTTCTACGTGTTGACTGTAAAGAATGTCACCATATGAACCTTTCCCTCCCATTTTATCAAACCAATTTTCCTCTACTTAATTTGTGGAGGGATTATCTCTGCAGTCCAAAGGGTTTGGCTGGTCCCAAGTTTAATATCCAGCACTGCCACTTCAGAGTAGGCTAGCAATCGATCCAGACCGAAGACAAAGTGGAACCGTCAGGGTGGTTGGCTAATAAAAAGAGGCCCTAATCCAGCCCCTGTAGCGAGGGATTATGGCGAGGGCACAGGGTCATGGGTTTGTACACAAACTAAAATTTAGCACAGAGAGGCTGGATTCTCCGGGGACTATTACCTCGTATTGCTTTGTCCTTTATTTAACTTTCACAGCGACTGTCTTAGGAGGGGAAACAGATCACCTTTTAGGAATCGCCATGGTGCAAAGCTTTGCCATACCTATCTAGACATGTATAGCGTACGCATCAGAAAAAGTCAATATAAAAGTCATTTAGTACATTGCTAGACTGGAAAATGGTTGCATTTTAAATGGAAAATGGTATGAAATTCCCAAAAAACATGATTAACCCCACAAGCAAACCCCACATGCTATTTCTTGGGCCACTGGCTCAACAAATAAAAAATATGAATTTAAACTGTTATATACATCTCTGGTTTTGCCATTGGTTGTCCAAACCAGATTCATGCAGTAGACGACCTTTTTTTTAACCTTATATTGTTGTTGACGATGATAAAAGGCGTCGTTTAGGGATGTGTCAGTTTTAAAGGAGTGTTTTTATCCAGTTTATGTCTTCTTAGCCTGACCTACATACATTTGGACACATGACCTTATTAAAACCTGCCAACCACCTTTTCCAACAACAATAAAGGAGCATGCTCTTTACAAACACTCGTTAACTGACCGTTTAATTAATCACACCCACAACAACAAAAAACACATCTTAGCACAGGAGAAGCAGGAGCAGTCAGCTCTAAAATATTGATGATTTAAGCCAACCAGCCATTTATTTACCCTGCATTTTAAAGAGTAGGTCTATTTAGATATATCTATAATGTAAGTGGAAGGACAAAAGGAATGACAGATCTTTGATACAAAGTAATAGAAAACAAAAGTATTAAAAACCTTATTACATTTCATACTTTTTAGTGCACTGTAAAAACAATCTAGAAATGAGTAAAAATGTCTTAAATTAAGTTTATTTAACCTTATTTTGAGTAAGTAAATGAGACAGTTTGCCAGTGGAATGAGTATTTTTACTCTTAAAATAAGATAATGGGATAATATGCACTTGGAATAAGGCAATGCAATTGTGTTTTCTTATTTCAAATGTAAATTATCTTGTTCCATTGGCAAAATGTCTCTTTAACTTCCTCAATCCAAGAACAAATGCACTTATTTTAAGAAAAAATTACTTATTTAGATTTTGATTTTTTCCAGTGTGTCACTACAGACCGTAGGAACCCTGTTCTTTTTTTGTTTTGTGCTTTTTGTACTGAGCAACCAAGAACAAGGATAACGTGTGTTTTTGTTGTGTACTTTATGCTTATGCTTTTACATCAGTCTGATCTAAATATAAATGTCAAGTGTCCAAGACTTCATAAAATCTCTGAAAGCGGTTTTCTTCCCAGGCTACTTTGAACCCTTCAAGCATGTATAAGTTCAATGTGTGAATAAATTATGGTACTGAGGCATTTTAGCTCTCTCTTTAACCACTGACTACATATTGATGTCCTCTGTGTGTCAGGGGATTTCCACTTCATACACATTGACCTGAATCATCCAGAATAGGAATAGAATGCCATTTACGGAGAGGAACATTCGAGTACCGGGATGGTGTGGGAACCAAAAAGTTTAGAGATGGAGATGAAGTATGAGGAAAACCTTAAAAAGGCCTACAGTAGTCACAAAATAAATAAATCAAAAATATATAATCATTTACAAATAAAACAATATAAACCAAGTGTATCTGATAGTGATTCACTGCAAAATTTATCTCAAAATTAGTACAACTGTCTTAAATTAAGTGTATTTACCCTTAATTCGAGCAGGTAAATGAGATAATTTGCCAATGGAATGAGTATTTTTACTCTTAAAATAAGGTATCTAGATATTATGCGTTTTAAATAAGACAATGCAATAGTTTTTTTCTTGTTTAAAGTGTAAATTGTCTTGTTCCATTGGCAAAGTGTCTCACTTCAATCCTTAATTCAAGAAAAAATGCACTTATTTTAAGAAAAAATGACTTATTTAGATTTTATTTCTTTGCAGTGTTCAGACCTTTTTGAGAGAGAATTTTTTATTTTTTTTTTCCAGATTTTTTACCAAACAGAGAACTTCAACCATGGCGAATAAGGCCCACTTTTATATAACCTATAAACAGGGGCAGAGCTAGATGGGGGGTCAGGGGTGGCCATGGCCAATCATTAGCCACCCCCGTAGCCACCCCTACCATTTTTTCTCTTAAGTAGAATATTCAAAACATTTTAAAATTATATATATTAACAATTACTTTACAACAAAAACACTGCGGTTAATTATGCACATTAATATACCAACATTAGAGAGGATTAGTACAGAATTCATTCTCTTTCAAAAGGAGATTTTGTGTTATATGCCGTAAAGAAAAAAATATGTGTTTCTGCAAGTCATCTAAGAGTCTGCAGAGAAATCATAGATACTGAAAATAACTATTTTAATAAAAACCTATTAAATTATCAATTATGTAGATATAAGTACTTGTAAATATCAATTTAATGTAGAAGGATATTGATAAAAGTAGGTAAGTAATGACAATAGAAAAGATATTCACCCCAGAACTCAAACCTCAAAGAATGTTTTCCAATATGCCTTTTATCTAGACTTCTATCTTTAAATATATGCATATATTTGTTAGAAAAGGCTGTAGGAAATTACAGTTTCTCTTTATTTAGAAATATAGACGTTGTGCTTGTTCCCGTTGGAACAGTGTAGTTAAACAAATAAAACAGCCTAACCAAAAACTTAATGATACCTCAGTTAGGAGTTGAACTTCAACAGTCGAAGGCAATTCTAAATAGACCTGCATAAAGCCGCTGTCATAGTGTTCCATAGCTTTCCATGCATGCAGCCATTTTGGAAAACTCCTGTAAAGTGAGTCTAATTGTGAGGAAATGAAGGAGATTCTGTGAAACATCAAGTTTGTTCTTTGAAGTCTGAATCTCACTTGATGCTCTCGTGTCATGTAAAGGTTTCCCCCACTGGAGATCAGTGGAGTGGAATCCCAGGAGTCCTGCTGTGTCGTGACAGAGTACATCCCTTCTCCAAGATATCTCAGGACTTTTATCTGCCAGGACATTGGTTTAAACAGAGAAATGTCTCACAATGTAACTCTATAGGGAGAAGAACCAATGCCGCCAAAAAGAGAAAGGTTTAGTGTTGTAATAATGTCATCCAGGTTGTTCTCTGGCTCTGAAATAACC